AAAAGCTCCCGAGTTGTATCCAGGTCATCTCTTATGGTTGTCCATAATCCCCCTTAAGTAGATAGAATGTGGCTTTGGGTATATTACAATAAGATCCCCATACACCCCATATTCTGTCTAATTAAGGGGGACTAGAATCCCTAAAAACCTTTAACCCATTCACTCGTAGAGATAACACGAGTGTTTGGTAATTTGCTTACCAAGGTCCGGACCAGACTTAGTTTTGGGTTTCGCAGAATACGGGTGCTCTTAGGCTTTTAGCGACCATAGAGGGATTCATGAGCTATAGCCCACCTTTCCTAACCTAGAATACTCCCCTGTATAACCCCCTATATAACCCTCCTTTGAGGAGTTTAGGCTAGTGGGTTTCGCAGAATACGGGTGCTTTTAGGCTTTCAGCGGCCATAGAGGGCTATAGAATAGTTTTCCAAAATCGGGGGACCCTAATACAGATCCCCAAATACTATAGTCCTTACAATGGGGACGCCCCAGATGTTATCCCCAATTTTGAGACACCCTAAACTTCATATTTCCTTTTATACACCCTATATATCCCCTATTACAAGTTTAAAAGGCACCCCCCAAATTTTAGGACACCTATATGCGGGAATCATGGGTGAAAGGTAGGATGTCTGCCACAGGCTTTGGTTTTTTTGGAGTGCATGTTCAGTTGAGGGCTTTCGCGATTTTAGGGGGTTCAGGTTGACGGATATTATGGCTTTCGGGATTCTGGAGGGTTCGGGGGATTCAAGGAGTTTTTCCGTCAGTTTAGAGGTTTATTGTTTGAGGGTTGCGGGAGTTCGGGAGAGGGATCTTCAGCTTTTTAGAGATCTATCGGTTTGGGGGATTTTAGAGAGTTTTGGAGGTGAGGGATCGGCATTTTGTAGAGCTTACAGATTCTGAGCTTCTGGGATATAAGGGACTCCAAGGATTTCAGGATTTTAGGGTTTGGGGGCTTTCTTTAGTTTTGAGATGCTATCCACCTCTATGCTAACATGGAATGCCAGATAGGCAAGATCCAAGAAGGACATCAATTTGCAGAAACTAGCACATCCCAGCAGAGCCTCCACACACTCGCAGGGCGGTGAAGACCTGCCGAGACTATTCCCCTTCTGCAGCCGTCTGACACAGGCGCGGGAGCTTCCTAGCAGCCATCTTGGGATGGTATAGGTAATCCTTACCAGGATCCAGGAACATCTGTTCTAGGAGGATGGCGATGGTTTTTAGTAGAGACTTTTTAGGATTGTATATAGACAAGCAAGGCATCATCTAGGGCTTGGTGAGGGATCTGCCAGGAGAGTAACCCAGTCAGAGGGCCAGGGGCATTGTCAGGCATCTGAAAGTGTTGATAGGTTTCCCCTTCATTGTGGTATATGATATTTAATATTGGGGGGGGGGGGGGGGGGCGGATTTTAAGTGTTAGCGGGAGGGGATTACAGAATCACATCACACAATTGAAGGCACCCAAGGTTGGCCAAACCCTGCTTCCCGTCCCACTGGTAGCTTCCTTGGACATAGTCTCAGTGCCGCGCGGGATACCGCTGCACGTTGGTGTCAGCATGATGCTTGCTGAACAACTTCGCCTGCAAACTGTATGCAGTCAAAGGGTGTGACCCAATGCTATCATGCAGCATGAAGTTTCACACGCAAGTGACCCCCAAAGACCCCCGAGCCCCTGACCCTAAACCCTAAACTCTAAACTCCTGGACCCCTAAACCCTAACTCCCTACCCTAACCATCCCCAAAAACCTTCATAATATATCCCTATGCACCTCCTCAACCCTATCTATTCCCATATACCCCTATAATAAAGTCCTGTGCACCTCCTAACTTACTGATACCAAACAGCGCTGCCTGCGACTGACCTTTGCCTCAGGCGATGACGGATGTGGCGCAGGCTTCCCCTACCTGAGATTTGGATAATGTACGTAGGGTTTCGGGTTTAGGGTCACAGGTTAGCGTGTAGGGTCTAGGGTTGATAATGGAGGGGCCTAAATATTCATTGTATAGGTTTTTAAGTTAAGGTTTAGGCTTTCTGGGGATGATGTACGGTTAAATAGCGACTTACAGGGATTGTATAGGAGTATATCCCCAGGTAACGGAGAATCACATGGACGAGAAAATGGTACATGACATGGAAAAGGTTTATGTAGGGCTTATCGTGGGACTTATAGGGAATAACTGCCTCATGTTATAGCCCTTCTTCTCAATGGGTTTATAGGGATTATACATGGTTATATAGGGTTTTGGGTACGAAGAGTGGAGAATCACATGAAACCCAAAGTAGAACATTAATTGAACACTGGACTTACACAGGGTCTTATAGGGATAATTACCAATGTCATGGTCCCAGATTCCCTGCATAACCATGTTATAGGGTACCTCAACTAGTCCTCAAATTGATATTTGTAAGTCTATAGGATTCTGCATGGAAGTTATTTCCGGAACAAAGGGTCCCTTTTAAGGGGTATACATTTCCTGTAAGCAGGTATAATTGTAAACGCTAGCGCGCGCCCGCCTCGGCTGGCGGGGCTTCCCAATGTAGGAACATGTACTTATAGATATACAGGTATTTAAGTTAGGTATTTAGATACAGGCAGCTGCCTATTACATACACAAGAA